AAAAAAAATCTAAACCAAACAACAACTAAAAGGCATCCCTCCCTCAGCAGAGACTTCCAAGAAGGCCATCGAACTAAGCCAGCTACTGGAGAATTCAAAGCAGCGGAACCCCGCTCACCACTGCCGAAGGCCTAGCGAACCCGGAGACCGAAACCCCAAATTACTCCCAATAGTCGACCCTCACTCCAACCGCAGAAACCACTTCATCCCCAACTCGGCAAACACCTCAAGCCAAGAACCAAGCCGACCCGAAATCGCCGAAACCCCAGCTCATTCGGAAGCCGGCTAGAACCCAAAACTCAAAACAAAGAGCCGTGAGAGAGGAATTGAAGGATCCAAGTCCAGCCGCCCCACCCAGCCTGATGGACAGAGCCAAACCCGCCGGAATAAAACAAGGCACCCGCCGACCACAACCAAAAGAAAACCGAGACAAATTGGCATCCGAAGAAGGCAGCCAACACAACTCACCTCTTACAGTCACCAAAACTCCGGCGGAACAGAACCGTATCAATCGACGGCGAGATAGCCACAAGGACCAATCGAGCGTACCTTGAATCCAGCTTGAAACACCGAGCCCATCAGTCCGACCACGGCGACCCGACCTCACCCCCTCTCCAGCCACCGTCTTCCGTCCAGCCCACTCTCGTCGAAGCACCCGAAGGAAGGGCGCAGAAAGGGGATCTGCAAACCCTAGGCGCATCTTTCGGCGGAGTGTTGAAGTGGAGAGACGAGGCCAAATCGAGGGTGAGCGGCGAAGCACGTTCTCCGGCTAACCCGGACTACCGCCGGGGAGAAGAGAAGGCTCGATCAGAAGACGATGATGCAGGGATTGGGTAGAGAGAGAAAGGGGGCAATCATATATCTACTATAAATATATATATATATATATATATATATATATATATATATACGTATCTCCTTTCTCTCTTCACGCACGATCAGATTTCTTAAACCCTCCCGCAGCTTCTTCTTCGGGCGTGAACTCACAGAAAAAAGATTTTCTTTTTGTGTCGTCTTCAACCCTTCTTCCCTGCTGCAGAGAAGAAAAATCTCTTGCCTTCTCTCACCATATCCCCTGCGCCTTCATCTTCTCGCAAAATCTAGACGCCGGCGGCCTTCTTCCACCACGAGCCAACCACCGCTATAAGCCGATGATTACCCACATGTTCGCGACGTGATCGACAACCCCCCCACCACGCAGCAAGTCCTACGAGCAGCAACCTCCGCGATGAGCCGCTGCGAGCCGTCGCCTTCCTCCCTCGCTGCAAGCCGCGAAGTTCTTCCGGCGAACCCTCCAACTCCGAATTCCGTCGCTACGCTCTCGCCGTGATCCTCTCGCAGTCGCCGCAAGCCCGTCAACACCTCAGCAGCGAGTAGCCTCTTTACCGGCGAGACGAAGCTTGCCGTCGAGCCTCGGGCCTTTTCGCGTGTCGTTCGATCGAACCCGTCAACCTTTCGTTCGTTCGTTTTCGTTTATTTCCCGAGAATGGTACAAGGCTCGACTCGTCTCGTTCAATTTTACGTCTCGTTTATGTTGCGTGCTTGATTGTCGTATATATATTGAATTCATGAGAATATGCCTATGTGATTTTATTTGTGTTCATGAGGTTATTGTTGTGTCGAATATGAAATTTTTCGTTGACAAGCCTTTTGATTTTAGAGAATTGAACGAGGCCTCGTCAACTCGTGAATTTGCCGCTGTGGGCTAGAACTTACGTCGTCCATAGTCTTATGTCGAAGGCTTCGGACGGATTCGTCGTAAATCGAGTCGGTTATGAATTGTTGAAATTCTTTAATTGCTGTTTTGATATATAAATTATGATAAATTCTGTGATGCTCTTATCAATGTGAAATTTTGTGTGCTCGACCCTCTGCTGGAAATACATGTTGCATAAAAATTTCAGATTTGAATAATAATTTTAGCTATTTTTAATAATTATTTGGAAATCTGAGCAGAATCTTGTAAAATGCATATTAAATTTCTTTGTGCCTCAAAAATTACGAAATTTGAGTATGTTGTCTTTCTGTATGTTTTATAGGCGGTGTTAAAGTTTTGGAATTTTTGGACTTTGTTTGCTATATTTAAAAATTGTTTATTTTATTCTGCAGCTTCATAATTGAATTTTAGTAAATTGAATTCTTGCTGGAAAATTCTGAAACTTTACTGAGATGCTTATTTTATGTATCTATTCATGCTGTTAAAATATGAAAATTTTTGGAGTTCATTTCGTTTCAATTTTGATTTAAATTTGATAAACTGTTGAATCTCGTTTGAATTTTTAAAAATAGCAGCAGTTAATGTTAAGGGCTGAGATTTTTATATTTTGTTTAAATCATGCTGTAGTGTGTTGTGTAAAATTTTCAAGTCCTGAATCATTCATTAAGCTTGAGTATAAATTCATGGCTCGGTTTTACTGATATCTTGTGGGAATTTTATAAAAAAGTGTACTTGGGATTTGAAGCTGAAAATTTGTGTATTTTCTTAACTCTGGAAGGTGAAATTTTGGTTAAACTGTCAGAGTTAAATTCGAACCATAACATGGTCAACTTATTTTTGTAGTTAAAATCTAGTATTTTAGATACATAGCTTTTGGAAATAAAAACTGTGAATCATCTCGTTTTCTGTTTCCTTGAATGTTGGCTTTGTCGATCTGTGTCTTGGATTATGTGAACTCCCATGTGTAATTGGTTGAGTCTAGAGGTCAAGTCTAAGTGTTCCAACGTCCACAGGACTTCACGGACAACTTAGTTGAATCAAGTTCGACTAAGTACGATTGTGATTTTCCGTCTAAGTCAGAATAGATGTTGATTGTAGCATCTGAACTTAATGTAGGTGTTTGACGAGCCGAGCTCGCAACGTGATCGTGCTTTCATGATTATCTCTTATTTGCGACCAGGTGGGTTTTATTTAAAATTTGCTATGCTGTAAATGTTATAAACGTATAACTTGTGGGTTTAATTCGAAAAATTGCTATGCCTTAAATGTTATTACTGTTTTAATTATGGTATGATCAATGTATGCATGTGAACCATGTAGCCTTTGATGTGAGCTGTATCGGCCGTTGAATGGTTATCCCAGTAGCTATAGAACGTACCCGATGGGTAGTCTCCTTTATATTATGTTATGTATGGCCGTAAGACCGGGGCGTAGGCCACGGCTGGTGATCTCCGGTTTGTAAGACCAATTCGTAGGTCTTGGCCGGGCGGGGTGGATTACTCCTACTGGCTGGGCATCGTTGTAAGACCAAGGCGTAGGTTTTGGCATTCGAATCGAGTATCAGCAGTAGTCTATGCGTAAGTGTGCACATGAGGGTTGACTCTGGGATAGGAGATGGGATAAATGATTGATTCGAATACATGCTGCGACCATACCTTATTGATTATTGATTACTGTTTCATTATTGTGAATAATGTTTACTGCATAGTGGTGAGCACTACTTTTTCCAACTGTGCTCATCCCCATCTGAAATTCACGTTTCATGTTAAGCGAGGCAGGTACGACGGTGGAGTAGAGCGAGTGGTGGTCGGTCTATAAGACTGGCTTTATTATATGTTATGCTTCCGCATTTATGAACTGGTTTTATGATATTGAACTTGGGGTATTATTGTTTTTATGAATTTCAGATTTTATGACTGAATAATGTTAAGGAGATGCTCCTTAGAATTTATGAATATTGTTGGAACCCGGTTTGGGTGATGATTTATAAAATTTTGGAAAACCCGTTTTTGGGAGTTAGTATTATTGATGATGATTGATGATTGAGTTTGACGAATGATCGAGTATTGAAAAATTAGTTAGTATTGAAGTTCGATTTAAAAAGGGGTAACGCCTCAGGTGCTTCGAAATAAATTTGAAAAATTTATTCTGATTTTCGGCAAATAAAAGTGGGGCGTTACAGTTTAGTATCAGAGCCAGTCTGCGTTTCTGTAGACTGGTATGTGTGAATTATGTGAATTGATTGCATAATATGAATACGACCACTCGCTTCCGTCGTGCCTCGCCAACTCAGGTATGAGATTCCTGATTAAGTTAAATTGATTATGTTGCCTGATTATTGAAATGAACTGATATGATATGAATGGGGGCTTAGGATCTATCCACCGTTAATTAATTTGGACTCTAGCGCTTCGTGGCGAACTCTAGATCCCAATTAATAGTTATTGTGTCTCGTAAGTAAAGTTCGGGTTGTGCTGAATAGATGGCGGCTAAAGCTTACAACAAGGGTTTTGGACCAGGCAACCGCACTGCAAAGAGAATCAAGGAGTTCAACCAGTTGGTATACGATGAAAGGAAGTCTGTGGGCGAGAACATTCAAGCTGTACTCGACCACTGGGAAAGAGCAAGGAAATGGCGTAAAGACGACGCACTCACCAATTGGGATGGCTGCAGGAAGTTACTCACTGCATTGCCACCAGCATGGAAGGCTAATGCAAACAGACTCTACATAGAGCTCTTGGAGGAAGGAAAGAGGGATAGGAACAGGAAGAAGCAAGACTTGGTTAACTTCTATGGCTTTGTGATCAAACTCGGGCGTCTTTGGGAAGAAAGAGAAGTGCCGTTGGAAACCGGAGAGACATCGAATGAAAGTGAGCCGACCGAAGACGAAGGTCTATTTGCTCCTCCCTCAACCCAAGATTCGGCAGCCACGGCAGTAGCTTGACCGAAAGTCGGGCATGAGATGATTATCTGTCCCTTCTTCTATTTGATTTTCAATACTCTTAGCTTTTGGCAAACCTTGTTTATTTTCTTTTACTCGCAAGACAGTTAGAATTGTGTTTTGGAGATTCCCCTTGGTTATTCAAACTTCCACAATTTAGAAATTTTCGTTTGTCTTTTCTTTTCTTGCGTGGAGTGAGTTCTGGATGGAGTGTTTTCCACCTTAAAGGGTTAAGCAGAAACCTTTTAAGGAGGATAGACGAGTCAGTCAAGCACATCGCGTAGTGCAGACCCATCCTTATTCTAAATCTTGTTCTTTTGGAAACCTGGACCAAACCCCGACCCTGGCTCGGTGTAACCACGCGGAGTGGTGGCCGAGCATGCACGACCGTGCTGAGAGACGTAAGGCTTGCGCGCGGCCGACCGTTGACTCGCATGCGAACTGCAGCCGTCATCACTGGTTTGTGATGAAATCGTGAACAAGTTGTCAGTGTGTCTCGGACACGAGACTGAAACTTGGCATCACGTGACCACCTTGAGGGTGAGATAATCGGAGTACGCTGACAATACACCGAACGACCTGTTGAGGTCTTGTGTGCTGTTAGGTACGAATCAAGTCATCGATACTCATGAGTATAGGCTAAACCGAACTGGGTCCCTTGCAAGAGAATGTACGCCTGAGCTCGGACAGGACTGATCACCCTCTCGAGCAAGAAGGTAAACATATGAGCATGGGCGAGTCGAATTGGTTCCTGAATGTGAGTATATACCTTTCGAGCATAAGGCGATAGGACTCATGGGAACGAAATCGAGTTCTGGAGAGTGATGCCCGGACCTTGTGATTGGAAATTCCCATTTTAGTCTGTCGTTATCTGTGATGTGTGTTCTTTCGTATTTCCGAGGACGGAAATATTTTAAGGACGATAGATTGTAATGCCCCGTTTGAATTATAGAATTTTGAGGATTAATTATTATTATTATTATTATTATTATTATTATTATTATTATTATTATTATTAATATCTAATTGTTACTATTATTATTTATTAAATGCTATAAATTATTAATTGTTTAATATGATTTATTAGTCAAACTGCTTAATTGTCTAAATATTAAATTTTCTAATTGTCTAAGTGTAATTAATTTATTTAAAGGTGTATTAGTATTTTACTAATATTAT